AAAAAGTCTTAACAAAAAGTATGTCCTTTCTTAAATCTCATCCCCCAAAGTATTGGGCATTCCTCCTCTCTGATCCTAACGTCCAGTTTTATCATCATATTGTACCAATTGCAAGTCTGATGGAGATTTCACAGTTCAGCATTTCTGACCCCGCGGTATATCACATGATCTACACATAAGGCTTCGTTAAGAGCAATCTTTCCCTTACAAGCCCATGTATTAGTGTTGTTACTTATGAGAATGTGAAATCAGATAAATATTATACTTAAATTGCATGAAAATTGCCATAAAATGTGATTATCCAAGGTCAATAATGCATATTTGTGGTGGGCAGAGAATTTTATGTTTTCTATTAATCAGAGAAACAGCTTTAAAAAACACTTTTTAAAAAGTAGCTGGCAGCAATGGCACACATCTTTAATCCCAGCACTCGGGAGGCATAGGCAGGTGGATCTTGAGTTTGAGGCTAGCCTGCTCTACAAAGTGAATTCCAGGACAGCCAGAGCTGTTACACAGAAAAACCCTGTCTTAAAAAACAAACAAACAAACAAAAAAGTAGTACTGTCTTCTCTCCATGTTCCCATCCAAGATACTGCCTAACCACAGTCCATGGACAATGGAGCCAAGTGAAACTGAAACCAAATAAAACTTTTTTTTCTTACAAAGAAACTACTCTTTAGTGACCTATTAGTAATCAAGAGATATTCCATTTGTGTGTCCAGCAAATAAACAAAGCTATACAGCCTCTAAACCATATTAAGCTAACATTCTGCATCATGTAGCTCTCAGTTATATACTGCTGAACTACAAAACCATGACCTTATGTGGTACTGTGCCACATCGTCACCCGAGTGGCCTTAGCTGGCAGCCAGACATAGAGCCAATGAGGGTACAGGGTGAGTCTGTAAAACTCTACACTGTGACGATGATGCTGACAAGGCAGAGGAGTAACAGGGGGGGACAGGGAAGAAGAAGATGGAGGAAGATGGGAGCCATAGCTCTAAAGTAACACCTTCCAACAGAAATGTGATGTGAGCCACAAACAGAATTTTAAGTTGTCTGATAGTTACACTTAAAAAGTAGAATAAAAAGATTCATACTAAGGCTATATTTCACTTATGTTACTTAATGGAATGAAGATACAATCACTTTACAATGCAATCAATATTAGGAAAACAGAAACAAAGGATTTTCCACAGTTTCTATTGCTCTGTCACTGGACTTAGCCATATTGGAGTTGCCCAACAGCAACACATGGCCAGTGTCTGCTGTATCAGACAGTGCAAGTCCAAGTTGTCTTTATAAACCCAGCTAAATAATAAGGTAATAATAATGTGCTACTTCCAGAGTGGACTTTTCACCCCATCATGTTGGGAACATTTAAAATTACCACAATATTCTTAAGTTTGCAAAAAAATAGAGTATAATATTCCCTTCAAACTCTTTTTGTGTCTTGTTTTGGATAATTTTTTTGAAACATGATTTGAGACAATTCCTGGTATCCTTTTCACCTTCCCTTCATTCTGTTGGCTAAAAAAAGGGCTGGCTATAGCCCATCTTTGTCTAATAAGAAAGTCCTTGGTACAGGATCTAAGAATATAAATTTTAGGATTATTAGTATCTTACATATGGCAGTTTCTGAATACATAACTTTGACTATACATTAAAAAGTGAACTAAAGTTTACAATGGTAATCTTCAATTTGGAATCCACAATGGCACTATCTGGAGAGGGATAACTATTCTGTTGCCTGGCCCCACCTAAAGCTCCCATGGCCAGAGAAGCTGGTGGTGGATCTAGAGTTTGCTTTGGGTATTGAGACTTAGAAAAGTGGGCTACCTCTTCTGAAGTTGTTGGCCAATATGGTTTCATGGACCCACAAGAATTACAGGCTACTGCAAACACTCTTAGTTACCTCCAGAACTTGATGATAAGACCAATCTAGTACTTGCCTGGAAGTTTTATCCATACCAGCTAGCTTTCATAGTGTAGGTAGGTGCCATCCACAATGCTGGGGATTATCATCAGTTTTATCATCAAGATTAATCATCAATTTTACCCAGTTATGAACCTTGCAATCTACAATAAGCACTGGCCTGACAAGATATGAGTGCAATAGTAGCACAAATGCTATGGGAGTAATCAACCACTTTCTGATTGTATCTAAGGTGTGCTCCACGGAATGGAAACGATGTCTGGCACTGTTAACTATACATGGCTAGATAGGTTATAGGCTCTGAGGGAGAACCCAACACTATTATTCTATATATAGACATAATATTAAAATGACTCCTAGTTACTTTTGCTATCCACAGATCATAGCATCCATTAACCATCATCAGAGAAGCTTCCTCTAGTCGATGGTGATTAATACAGAGATAAGTGACTGCCCCTAAAGGAGATGTACATATTACATCCCTACCCCCAAGACTTGAGGATATTTGAGGCAGAGAGGGTAGAAATATTCTAAGAGCACAGAAGTGGTGGATAACTTTAAAGAAATTGTTTTCTACATACAACAGGGCAGTTGTATATATAAACTCATATAGATGGTAACAGCAAGCATAAGGCTTGTGTAAGCGCAAGCCAGAAAAAAATCCCAGCATGGGAGTTGGGGTGGGCATGAAGTCCCATTGATAGCTGAGAAGCTAATGGCATTTAATAGCTACTGGGAGAGAAAGAGTCCATTTTCCTTAATGGTGTGACCTGGAAGGGCAGAACCCACTCCCAACTATAGTTAGCCAACACAAACTAAATCCAATGGACTTTTTTAAAAAGGGAAGAAGATACAAAAGTTAAAGAGGTAGCAAAGTGAGGATGGAGAGAACGGATCTGGGTGGAGTTGGGGGGCAGGGTCAATATGATCAAAATGTAGTTGGAAGTTTTCCTGTGTCCCGCCCCACCCAGTCCACAGCTGCTCAGACCCAAATAAACACACAGAGGCTTATATTAATTATGAACTGCTTGGCCATTAGCTTTGGCTTATTACTGACTAGCTCTTACACTTAAATTAACACATAATTCTTATGTATGTTTAGCCATGTGGCTTGGTACCTTTTCTCAGTTCTGCCTTGTCATCTTGCTTCGTCTGTGTCTGACTGGAGACTCCTGACTCAGTCCTCCTCTTCTCAGAATTCTCCTTGTCTGCTTATCCCAACTATACTTCCTGCCTGGCTACTGGCAAATCAGCATTTTATTTATCAACCAATAAGAGCAACACACATTCACAGCATACAGAACGACATTACACAGCATCAAAATACTCAAATTTTTTAAATTCTAGACCACTACTTTAGGTCTTGCTTCCTTGAGCAGAGAAACGTAGGAAATTTCCAAAGTATGACAGGTTTTCAAGGTTTTAACCTACTCATATCTATCTTTTTTCAACAAAATAATAGAATTCTCAATGTATCAAGATACTGACTCTTTTAAAGAAAGACTTTAAGGCCATTAAGATATGCAGGCAGAAAAAAACTCCAATATATACATGTTAGAATTTTCCAGATAAAGAATAATAGGAATTTTAAAAAGTATAGGATCTAGGCCATATGTACCTCATTTCAAGTTCATTTTACATATGTAAAAAGAAAGTCTTATGAATTAAGGGTAGCAAATAGAAGTATCTTCTGGTTATGAAAGCATCTACAGGTTATATATGTATAGTATAACCATAAAGCAACACATTTACCTTGAGGAGTCACATTAAAAAACCTACCTAGTCAATGCACACAGAACAAAACATTTGAATTGTTGTTTGTTCTCAAGATGGTATTGAGCCTGATCCATTACTCCCATCGAGAATGAGGGGAAGATCAACTCTGACTTCTGCATTCACAAAAACAAGACTTTGCCACAGAGGAAAGAGCAGTGATGTCTGCACAGAGGGAGCAGCTGGGATGGAGTTCCTGTGACTCATGGGCTGAGAATTTCTCTGCTAATTTCCAAGGTGGTTTGGCCATACTTTGTCAATTGACCCAACTTAGCAGCCTTTTGTTGATGGTATGGTATCATGTGGCCTTATTCAGTAATAGAAACAGCATGTTAAAATTTCCCCAACAGTGCCCGCATGCATTTCCCCTGACTTTCTAGTAAAGAAGAAAGCTCTCTCCCAAAACTCCGCACTTACTTTTCTTTCAAATCTTAAACTGAATTCAGGAAATTAAAATAGGAAATATGTAAAAGCATTATATTTTCATGTTCACTAACCCTGATCAATAAAACGCTTCCCAGTTCTACCAAAAATATGGAGGAAGGTACAGAATCTGCAAAGGTTTCTAAGTAAGTGCTGGGTCTCCTGGGTATCCCAAAGAGCCAATGGGTGCCAAGTAGTCAGATGATGACATTCACTGAGCCCCAGTTTGCCTCTCTGTAAAGGAATGGAAAATATAATACAACGAACAACAACAAACTTCAAGTTTCCAAGTTGCCATCCTCATGAGGCCAGGAATATAATTCTCACCAACCTGTCAGGGCTGACGACAAATCTGAGCTGGGGAACTACATAAGCCTTTCACGCCCACATTGTGGTCAGTTAACATCTACCAAAGACACCTGTGCTGTAAGCCTTGCATGTCCACACTGTGGTCAGTTAACATTTACCAAGGACACCTGTTCTGTAAGCTTGCACAAACATACTGTGGTCAGTTAACATCTACCAAAGACACCTGTGCTGTAAGCCTTGCACCTACACACTGTGGTCAGTTAGCATGTACCAAGGACACTTGTGCTCCAGAAGAGATAGAGAGGTTTGCCTTCAAAATATTTCAAAAGCAGGAATGACAATGAATGATTGAAAAGTATGAAATGGTCTTAGAAGGTGACATAAAGGCTACAGGGCAACTCCATCTACATTGGGGATGGAACCACCATTGGAAGACGGACCATAGACCCAGTCGTGTTGTCTATGGTCAGTCAGCGACTGGGTGTTAATGGGAGCCACAGAGAGAGTGCTGTCAAGGAGGTTCCCAAGTCCATGATGTGCAGCTGAGAAAGCCTCCTACCTTTCTGGAAGAAGTCCTCCAACTTGTCCTTGAAAGGCTGCAGATACTCCTTTGGGGACTCCTTGCACACCAACTTCATCTGTTGCTCACTTGCTGCAAAGAGAAGTATAGATTAGACCTAATCAAAAATACTTGCTGAGATCCTGCTTGGGCACAGTGTTCTGTTATCAGTTGTACAGACTGCATGAAAATCACAGTTTAACCAAACTCCATGGGAAAAATAGCACATTCTTTACCTCTCTTTGGGAACAGGGATATGTGCAGCATTCAGTTTTCCTCTTAGCCATTCACAAAATGATCTATGACCTGTACCAGGTAAAGTATTCTGCTTTTTGTTCCTCATAGTAGAGAATGTACTTAAGGAGTGATTCCAGGGAAGAAAGGTCACAGGCCCTCTTCAGATTCATAGACTGAAAATGATTTTGCTGAAGTTTCCACAAATCCAATTGCCTCGAATTATCAAGTTAAAGAATCCTCATGGCCATGGATACTCCAGTCCAGTTTAGGAAGTACTGTATCTGGTCTTCACACCTCTCACTTAAAACAAACAAAGGTCATTTTCAAGATGAAAGTTATGAGAGTCAGCTTAAGTCCTGCCACAGTAAACAGGACAGAAAACGCTGGACCCTGACTGGAAATTGCTAGTTCATCTCTCCTCACCAAAACAACAAGCTCAGAGTAGAAAATCATTAACAGCCGAGCTTACCTAGTGACCCACAGATGTGGGGCACTTGCAAAGCTTTAAAATAAGCAGGATACAAAATGTAGAATAAATGCGCATGGAGGTTTTGTTGGAGAAATAGACAAATAGAAGTAGCAGGTAATGGGTAAGACTGAACCCCTCTCCCTGATTGCTTGACCAATGAGGAAAAGGAGGGAGGGACCTGAGTTCAGGGTGATAAATACTATTCTCAGAAAGCAACCATTTTGCTGGGTTGGAGTCCTCAAGATCATAAAATAATCTGCCTCACTTTTCACTCGTCTGAGTCTCCAGTATTCATTATGGAGTGAGGGTCCTTTGTCCTCATACCACTCATCTAACGCTTCACTAACCCATGAAATAATTTCACTTGATTTGCTTCAGACAGGACACCCAGAATTTACAACAAATTACTATTTTGATAATCAGGTTGCCTTGAACCAGAACACTCTGATTTGGTTACATATGAACCATAAGAATCAAGGGCTTGCTGTCTCCAGGAGTGGTTAACTCAGGCAAAAGATGTCTGCTGTGTTTTCAATATGCTTTTCGCCAGTGGATTCACCTATTGGTCATGGCTAGAAATTACTGAGAGACCCTTGTCTAAGACACCAACTTAAACCTTGGATTTTTTATCATAAGCAAATCATGCTCCTTAATTAAAATAAAATAGAGAAACACTTAGCTGTATAGTGTACACCTGCAATCCAAGAGCTTGGGAGGCAGAGGCAGGTGGAACTTGTGTGTAGGGGTAGACTAAGCTACATAGAGTGCTCCAGTCTAGCCTGGAACCATATGAAACCCTGTCTCAAGAGGGGTGTGTGTGTGTGTGTGTGTGTGTGTAGAGAAACATATACTTTATATCTTGGAAGAATGTATAACAAGAAGACAAGGCAAATTGAAAGTAAGTGATTGGGGAAGAAACTTTATTTACATCAGGAACATTCTAAGCAGCCATTTGGTGTTTGTTTGTTTGTTTGTTTTAATAAGCAAACACCTCAGTATTCTCTGCAAGTAGTCACCTGACATCTTTTCTTTTTGGGATAGTCTTGCCTTGAACTCAGGTTGAGTCTCTCAAGTGCTGATACTGCAGGAGGGCGGTACCACACTTGGACTGACACTTTCCAGTGGCAGTACTGGCACCCAGATTTCTAGACTTGTCAACTATGCTGGGAGACTAGAAGATGGTGCTAGGGGTGGAAGCATGATTTGAAGCCATCTTGTGTGTTTTCTAAGTGCATTTTCAGGGTTCCAAGCCTTCATTGTAGGACAGAGTTACTAGATCACAGTAGAGGAGTATCGTGCTTCAGGCTTCTACCAACATTGCTGCTTTTGAAGAATTTTGGCTAGAGCTTAAATAGACTATCTACTGCTCTTCCGACAACTATCCCAGAGCTAGCTGGGAAATGTGCCCATTGGTATGCAGACATTGACTGCTTTCTTTCTTTCTTTTTTTTTTTTTAAACAACCAAGGTGAAAAATACAAATCCTATGTTGGAAGATACAGAGAACAGTTTAATTAAAGTCAGCCAAACTATTTCAAACATTTGTTTCTGGGACCAGTGAGATGGCTTAGTGGCACTTGCCCCCAAGCCTGTTGCCCTGAGTTTGATACCTGTGCTCACATGGTAGAAAGATAGAATCAACTTCTGAAAGTTGTTCTTTGCCCTCTGCCTGTGCTCACAGAACAAATAAACATGTAAGATGTAAAAACAAACAAACATACATACATATTTGAACATCTTCAGCTTTCTTTGAAAGCAGTTTTGGTCTTCTCTCTAAAAAGTACTCTATAACTTCTCTATCATCAAATTTCTCTTTCCTGTTTTCCAAGTAGACAAACAATTTGGACAATGGCAAACACACCTCCTGATGTCACTATTCTCTTGCTGAAACAGTGAAACAGAAGTGCTTTGAGCTTGAGTGATGAGAGAAGACAAAGAGAAAAAGAAGAGGGGTTTGTTGACAGAACTGAAACACACTTTACAAGGTAGAATAAACAGATCTGGATTATGGAATCAGGGTAGGGCCAAAGGGTGAGAAAGTCATAATGGGTGATCCCAAGTCCATCTAAAAGGGATCAGTGTATTAAAAAAAAAAATCATTTGTGTGTGTATTTTCAATGTGTGTGTGCATGTTCAATGTGTGTGTTTATGTGTATGTGCATACATGTTGAGGCCAGAGGTTGACACTGATTATCTTTTCTCCACTCTCCATCTTATTTTTGGAGACAGGGTCTCTCACTGAACCAATGGCTTGCCAGCGCCCCCGATATATGTCTGTTTTTCTGAACATTGGAAATACAGGCCTGTGGTGATATTTTATCTGTGTCTCCCAATAAAGTTTATCTGAGGATCAGAGGAAAAAGCCAGCTACTATAGTAAACACGAAAGTTAGGCAATGGTAGCACATGCCTTTAATCCTATCACTCGGGAGGCAGGGATCTATCTGGATCTCTGTGAGTTCAAGGCCACACTAGGAACAGAGCCAGGCATGGTGACACACACCTTAAATTCCAACACTAGTTAACCATAAAGGTCTGGAGGTCTGTACAGACAGTCAGGAAGTAACAGAGCTGGGCAGGAAGAGGAAGTGATATAGCTGGGTGGAGAGGAAATGAATTGGCAAAACAGAAAGGTATATAGGCATGGGTATACAGAAGTAGGTCTCTTTGGAAGCTGCGGAGTTGGTGAGGTGAGGTTATTTCTCTGATCTCTCAGGTTTTAACCCCAATATCTGGCTCTGGGTTTTTTATTAATAAGACCATTTAACACTTCATTCTACACAGGCCAGTACTGTCATGCCTGGCTTTTACATGGGTGCTAGTGAGCTGAGCTTAGGTCCTCATGTATCTGGCAAGCACTTCACTGGCTGTGTCACTACCCTAGATCCCGACTTAGTGAACTTTAATGACCCTAGCACTGCCCATCATCTCACTCATCCCACGAGGCATAAGCACGGTAGCAAAGATGGTCATACTCACTGGGCATTTCTAGAGGAGATCAATGCACAGGCAATTGGTCAAATAAACTTTGAATGATCTCTGCTTTGAGCCATCATTTGACAATGGACTTCCAGGGAGACATACTTTTCTCCTGATATGCAGTTAGGTCTCTGAGAATACATGAAGCTATGTGGTTTCTCACAGCATAAACTCCTAGTTCTTTAAATCCAAAACCCCCTCAGTGACATTCAAGTTCTAGTAGCAAATTTTAGAACCATTTTTATGAGCGCAAATAATATGTCATGCTATCAATTTAGAAAATAAGATGTAACTGAAAGCATGGGGTTGATTCCTTGAAGGTTACTTCTTCTAATCAAAGTATAGCTTAAGGAAGAGCTTGTGTCCATAGTCACCAAAGCGTGGCCTCTACTTCTCCTAAATTGAAAAGATTGGTTATTGCAGCTCTTCTTTTGTCCTGGAAACAGTGACAGATGGGATGCCCATAAAACTGTTCAAACTTTATGAGCCATGTCACAGAGCTGGAAAAACTATGTGCCTGGACCAAGACTTCCCTGGGCTCAGGTGTGCTGTGGCTTTTTGTCTTATGGAAAATGAGGACACCTTCCTTTCTGTAGGACATGAGATAAGGCATAGAAGTAGTTTGTAGAATGTGTAGCATTAGCGAGCAACTTCGAAAAATACTATTTGTTATTATGAGGCTCTAGCAAACTTGGTCAGGAAACATTTCCCAGTGGGGAGATTACAGTGTGACGGCTGGAGACTAAATGCTGAAGAAGCTGTGTGCTCAGTTTACAGAGGAATGGCACAGCCCAGATCTCCAGTTTAGAAGATGCCTTTAGAGGAGCAATGCCTCTCATTCCCTTGCTGAGATCCTACCACCTATTGTGAGAACCACTGAAGACTCTCCCCGGCCCCCACCTCCCCAAAAAGGTGAGCTAGCTTGTGAAATCATCCCCCACATCTCTGAGCCTCCTGGTTTTGAAATTAGAAAGTAAAACCAGTACAAATGACAGCAGTCCCTTGGGTCTGCTCGGAGGACGCCTCTGCACCCCCACAGGCTGGGGCTCCCGTGCGGCCTGCTAGAATTAAACCTCTCCCCGGGATCAAAGGAGAAGGCTGCCCTCCAACTGCCCTTGCACAGCTACATGTTCCGGTGGCCAGCAGCTCACACACTCCAATTTATTAACTTGGCTTACCCGAGACGCTTTCTAACAGACAAACGGGAGACCTAAGACTAATTAATGATGACACTGGAGACTGGAGGCACACAAAGAAGAGAGGTCATGGACAAATTCGTAAATGCCACTCATTGTCCAACCAGAAGACTACTATACAATCTTGCCAGACCACCAAAGTTGCCTTAAACACAGTCTGTGCCAGGACCTCCAACATTAAAACCAACCAAGTCTGTCTTTTTTTTTTTCTCTC